ATCATGACCTGAGCCGAAGGCTCAGGTCATGATCTTGGAGTCCCGGGATCGAGTCCCGCATCGGGCTCCCTGCTCAGCAGGGAGGCTGCTTCTCCCTCTGACCCTCTTCCCTCTCGTACTCTCTCTCTCTCATTCTCTCTCTCTCAAATAAATAAATAAAATCTTAAAAAAAAAAAAAAAAGATCCTGTTTCATACCATACATTTAGGTGAAAATAGCCCTGCATAGAGGTTGTGATAGTTTATAGTGAGTGACTCAAGGTGCCTGATCATGTAGGCATTCACTAAATCCTCGTTTTGTTGTTGTTTCATTCATTTTTTTTTTTAATTTTATGTTTAAGTTATCTATACACCCAATGTGGGGCTCGAACTCACAAGCCTGAAATCAAGAGTCGCACGCTCCACTGACCAAACCAGCCAGGCACCCATTTCATTCATTTTAATTTTAATTTGTTTTACTTTTTTGAATAGGTAATAGACTCACATTATTCAAAATGGCTGGTTTTACAGAACCTGGAAGTCATTAATATAAAAGTGATATTTAAAGTCAGGGTAGGGGTACCTGGGTGGCTCAGTTGGTTAAGCAACTGCCTTCGGCTCAGGTCATGGTCCTGGAGTCCCGGGATCGAATCCTGCATTGGGCTCTCTGCTCAGCAAGGAGTCTGCTTCTCCCTCTGACCTCCCCCCTCTCATGCTCTCTCTCTCTCTCAAATAAATAATTTTTTAAAAATTAAAAAAATAAAGTCAGGGTAATGAGGGGCACCTGGGTGGCTCAGTCGGTTGAGTAGCTGACTCTTGGTTTCAGCTGGGGTTGTGAGATCGAGCCCTGCGTCAGGCTCTTCACTTGGTGAGGAGTCTGCTTGAGATTCTCTCCCTCTCGCCCTCCTCCCACTCGTGTTTGCTCTAAATAAATAAATGAATAAAATCTAAAAAAAATTAAGTCAGGGTAATGAGCACAACTGTCTAGGCCCTAGACACCTGGTTAAAGGGTGAGATGGCCAGACTCAGAAACGTGGGAAATGGGGGTGCCTGGGTGGCTCAGTCGGTTAAGCGACTGCCTTCAGCTCAGGTCATGATCCCGGGGTCCTGGGATCGAGTCCCGCATCGGGCTCCCTGCTAGGCGGGGAGCCTGCTTCTCCCTCTGCCTCTCTCTCTCTCTCTCTCTCTCTGACTCTTATGAATAAATAAATAAAACATTTAAAAAAAAAAAGAAACGTGGGAAATGTTAAAGTTCAGGCATTGGAGAGAGGAAGATAAACTCACAAAGAGGATTCGCTATATATCCCAGAGGCAGGAGAAAAGCCAGGAAAGAATGGTGTCATGGAAACCAAAGGGGAGTTTCAAGGAGGGTGCTGTGACCAAGAATGTCAGTGCCACAGGGGCACCTGGGTGGCTTGGTTGAGCATCTGACTTCGGCTTGGGTGGTGATCTTGGAGTCCTGGGATCAAGTCCCACGTAGGGCTCCTTGCTCAGTGGGGAGTTGGCTTGGCCCTCTCCCTCTGCCCCTCCCTTCTGCTCGGGTTCTCTCTCTCTCTCTCTCTCTCAAATAAATAAAATCTTTTTTAAAAAGTCCGTGCCAGGGGCGCCTGGGTGGCTCAGTTGGTTAAGCGACTGCCTTCGGCTCAGGTCATGATCCTGGAGTCCCGGGATCGAGTCCCGCATCGGGCTTCCTGCTCAGCAGGGAGTCTGCTTCTCCCTCTGACCCTCTTCCCTCTCATGCTCTCTATCTCTCATTCTCTCTCTCTCAAATAAATAAATAAAAAATCTTTTAAAAAATAAATAAATAAATAAATAAATAAATAAAATAAAAAGTCCGTGCCACAGAGGAGTCGGATTAGATGAAGACTAAATGATGAAAAGTATCCGTGATTCGAGTCTGGTAGTCTTTACCAGAGCAACCTCCTAGGGAAGAGTGGAAATCAGATGTGGGATGCAGGATAAACAGGAAGTGAAGAAGTGGAGATAGCAGGTGAGTGACATTTGCACATTTAACACGTGCAGGTTCGGTTATTCAGGAATGACCCTGAAGGTGCTTAATTAGCAGTGTGTGATTTACCTAAGGTGGGGACTTGTAAGCATTAGCTACATAGCTGGAAGCTAGCTGGCTTAAGGGTGAGCCTGACCACTGCTCAGCATCCCTAAATGAACACTGCTCGTTCTCTTCTTAGCAAGTATTTGATAACTCTCAATAAGGGTCTAAAGAAGTCACTTGAAAAGCCATAAGGTATAACTGGTGGGGTAAAGAATTCTAATGTATAATGGTTTTTGCAAATTTGGGGACTCTTAATATGTATCATTTGAAGCTTGCCCAGGTCTACTGAAATTTTTTTCCCTCAGGAGTTAGGCTGTGAAGGAGAGATGCGTCTTTTCAAGAGGGGGCATGCCACGCTGACAATGTATATTTTGCTGTTACTGTGGGATTTCTGTTGTTGTTTTAAGATAGAAAAGACTGAGGAGGGGCGCCTGGGTGGCTCAGCTGGTTAGACGACTGCCTTCGGCTCAGGTCATGATCCTGGAGTCCCGGGATCGAGTCCCACATCGGGCTCCCTGCTCAGCAGGGAGTCTGCTTCTCCCTCTGACCCTCTTCCCTCTCATGCTCTCTCTCTCACATAAATAAATAAAATCTTTAAAAAAATTAAAAAATAAAAAAAAGACTGAGGAGTCAGTAAACAGAGGTTAAAAATGGGATAAAAGAAGGGATATAGCAAAATCCCTTAGAAAAGAATATGGTGTGGATTCAACAGTCTCCCAAGAGCATATGGCTGATTGAGTTGCTTAGAGATCCATAACTGCTCTTACCCGTGGAGATCTCAGATTCATCCAGGGCCACTGAACTTTGAATCAAAGAGACCAAACAATTTGGTTAAATAAAGCACTGGAGTAGGAATCCAGAAACTCATGCTCTGGTTCCAGCTTTCTTGCTGACTGGCTGTGTGACACTGGGCAAGCCAGTTCCCCTCTCTGGAACGGAGTCTTCTCACAGTGAAGTGAAGATGCGAGACTAAGTTCAAGTCATTGGGTGATGTCTGCTGTGCCTTACAACTCTAACATTGTACAGTGCTGGTTTCAGGCAGTAGATGACCAAGGAAGATGGGTACGCTGAAGCAGGGGAGAGGGAGGACAGCCCAGTAGTCCACTTGTCATTTCAGTGAAAACTGGTATTACTAATGCCCGCTTCCTCACGGCCTGCATCTTGTGAGGGCTTTAGGTTGATTAGAAAATTAGGGGCGGGGCGCCTGGGTGGCTCAGTTGGTTAAACGACTGCCTTTGGCTCAGGTCATGATCCTGGAGTCCTGGGATCGAGTCCCGCATCGGGCTCCCAGCTCAGCAGGGAGTCTGCTTCTCCCTCTGACCCTCTTCCCTCTCGTGCTCTCTATCTCTCATTCTCTCTCTCTCAAATAAATAAATAAAATCTTTAAAAAAAAATTAGGGGCGCCTGGGTGGCTCAGTCGGTTAAGCGTCCGACTCTTGATTTCAGCTCAGGTCATGATCTCAAGGTTGTGAGATGGAGCCCCACGTCAGGCTCCACTCTGGGCATGGAGGCTGCTTGAGAGTCTCTCTCTCCCTGTCCCTGTGCCCCTCCCTATCCCTCTCTCTTTCTCCCCCCAAAAAATGATTCATAAATTAATTCAGTAGGCCCATTCTATTGAAAAGATCAAGGCAGCCAGGTTCAAGTGTTTCACTGGGAGGAGCGCCTACCTTGATGACACTGTCCTTGCAGTCCACCACTCGTTCAAATGTTTGGCTGAGGATCTCAATGTCCTTATGAAGCTCTCTGGTCTTGACCTCCCTAAGGACGGTTCTCCACTGTGTGTTAATCTTGTTAAGGTTCAGAGCACTATTGTGCTCCTCCTTGGCCAGCTTGTCCTGTATGAAGGAATAAATACACCCCAGGAGGGCAGGGCCTAAAGCCTTGTTATGGTAAAACAAACAAGATCACAGGTTGTCACTGACACCTTACCCTTTGTCTTTTCTGAGAGACCAAAGTTCCTGATGACTAACACTCAGGGAGTTCCTGTTCTTGTTTTTGGGAGGGTCTGAAGTAAGACAGAAACAGCCTGATGGCACTTTGGGGAGGGCAAGGGTGAATTTCCTTCAGGTGAAGACATCAGAGCAGGATGTTGTTTATAATCTCCAGGGAGTATATCAGAATTTCAGACCGCTCAGACAGCTGATAACACCTACTGTCCCAGTCTGGGGCTCAGTTGTGACCGTCAACCTCTATACCACTTGCCCCCCTCTGTGCTTCACAAAGAACTGCCTCCTCCCCAAACAATGTTGCCAGAAACCAAAGTATATTTGGGTTTCAAGATTTCCGGAGGAGGGGAGGCCAGCATGAAAACAGGCTGCCACAATGAGAGGGTCAAGGCGCAGGGCCAGTGCAGGGAGTGGGTGGGGTTGGGCAGAGTAATGCAGAAAGCCATCACCTTCAAGAACTGGCTCAGGAGCCTCTCTTTCTTCTTGGCCATCTCCTCCTCTGCCAGCAACTTCTGCTGAAACAGAAGCAGCTGCTCCTCATCGGACAGGGGCAACTTGGCCTTTTTCCCTTTCTTAGGCATAGCTGGGGGCGGGGGAGCGTGGATCTAGGCAAGGATCCTCAGTCTGCTTTGTTCAGCTTTAGAAGAAATAGGAGGAAAACGCCCCAGAAAAGGGCCTTACGGAACTGCCCCTGGATGGTAGCGCGACCTTAGATCTTAGCCCTTCCACAAGAGAGAGCGCCTGGGATAGCAGCGAGGCTGGGGGTCTGGAGCCAAACGCATCTCCGTCTCCTAGCAACGGGGATCTCGCCAAGATGGCGCTGTGAAAGGCTAGGAGGAGAGACTCTGGCTTGGAACGCCCTCTGCTGGCTGGAGGACTGCAGTCAGTTTTTTTTTTTAAGAGAGACCGTTTTACCTCTCAAAAGCCGTAGCCTCCTCCCTGAACATCTTAAAACTTTTTATTGTGTGTGTGTGGCGGGGGGGGGTTGTTTTTCATTGCATGTCTATATTTTAGCATACAGGTAATAACAAAGTTTGGAGGGAAATGTGGAGAAGTGAGAACCTTCACGCTTTGCTGGTGGGAATGTAAAATGGTGTAGCCACTTTGGAGAACAGTTTGGCAGTTTCTTAAAATGTTGAACATAAATTTACTGTGTGATCCAGCAGTTTCACCATTACATATCAATCTAAGAGAAGTGGAAACGTATCCACACAAAGACTTGCTTAGGAATGTTCTTAGCAGCATTACTCATAATAGCCCAATTGGAAACAACCCAAATGTTCGCCAACACGTGAATGGGTAGACAAAATATGCTCTTTTCATACAATGGAATACTATTCAACAATAAAAAAGGAACAAATTATGTATGCATACTACCACGTGGATGAACTACAGAAACATGCTCAGTGAAAGGAGCCAGACAGAAGAGACCACATATTGTAAGTTTCCATTTATATGAAATATTCAGAAAAGGCAAAGCTATAAAGTCAGAAAGTAGACTACTGATTGCTTGGAGGAGGGAGAGGGGAGATTAAGGTTAAATGTGCATGAAAGATCATATTGGGTTGATGAAAATGTCCTAAAATTGGATTATGGGGGTGTCTGGGTAGCTCAGTTGGTTAAGTGTCAAACTTTTTTTTTTTAATAAAAATTTTATTTATTTATTTAACTGACACAGAGAGAGAGAGAGAGAGACAGCTAGAGAAAGAACACAAGCAGGAGGAGTGGGAGAAGGAGAAACAGGCTTCCCGCCAAGCAGGGAGCCCGATGCGGGGCTCGATCCCAAGACCCTGGGATCATGACCTGAGCTGGAGGCAGCTGCTTAACCAGCTGAGCCACCCAGGTGCCCCAGGTGTTGAACTCTTGATTTCAGCTCAGGTCATGGTCTCAGGGTCATGAGATTGAGCCCTTTGTCAGACTCCATGCTAGGTATGGAGTCCGCTTAAGATTCTCTCTCTCCCGGGCACCTGGGTGGCTTAGTTGGTTAAGCGACTGCCTTTGGCTCAGGTCATGATCCTGAAGTTCCTGGATCGAGTCCCGTATCTGGCTCCCTGCTCAGCAGGGAGTCTTGTTCTCCCTCTGACCCTCCCCCCTCTCATGTTCTCTCTCTCTCTCTCTCATTCTCTCTTTCAAATAAATAAATCTTTAAAAAAAAAAAAGATTCTCCCTCTCCCTCTCCCTCTGCCCTGCCTCCCTCCCAGACACACACACTCTCTCTAAAAAATAAATAAATAAGGGGCGCCCGGGTGGCTCAGTCTTTGGGCATCTGCCTTCGGCCCAGGTCATGATCTCAGGGTCCTGGGATCGAGCCCTGCTTTAGGCTCCCTTCCTGGTGGGAAGCCTGCTTCTCCCTCTCCCACTCCCCCTGCTTGTGTTCCCTCTCTCACTGTGTCTCTCTCTGTCAAATAAATAAATAAAATCTTTAAAAAAAAATCCTTGATGAACAAAACATCAACATTTTATTTATTTTTTTAATTTAAATTCAATTAATTAACATATAACATATTATTGGTTTCAGAGGTCGAGGTCAGTGCAATCTTATATAATACCCAGTGCTCATTACATCATGTGCCCTCCTTAATGTCCAGCCCCCAGTTACCTCATCCCTGCACCCCCAATAAAGTTGTTTTAAATGTAAGATATAATGCTTGTATTAGGGTTCTCCAGAGAAACAGAAGCTGTAGGATGTGTGTGTGTGTTTGTGTGTGTGTGTGTGTGTGTGTGTACATACACATGTGATGTTTCAGTCTGAGTCCAAAGGCCAGAAAAGACCAGTGTTCTAGCACAACAGTCAAGCAGGAAGAATTCCTTCTTGCTCAGCCGTTTTTTTTTGTTTTTTGTTTTTTTTTATTCAGGCCTTCAGTTAATTGGTTGAGGCCCACGCACAGTACAGAGGGCAATCTTTACTCAGTCTACTGATTCAGATGTTAATCTCATTCAGAAATACCTTCACAGACATACCCAGAATAATGTTTGACCAGATGTCTGGACACCTTGTGGCTCAGTCAAGTTAGCACATAAAATTAACCATCACAGGTCTACCTCTTCTCAATTCACATCTTTTTAAAACCATATTTAATCTCCATGGGGTGCCTGGGTGGCTCAGTTGGTTAAGCGACTGCCTTCGGCTCAGGTCATGATCCTGGAGTCCCGGGATCGAGTCCCGCATTGGGCTCCCTGCTCAGCAGGGAGTCTGCTTCTCCCTCTGACCCTGCCCCCTCTCATGTTCTCTCTCTCTCTCTCTCTCTCTCTCTCTCTCATTCTCTGTCTCAAATGAATAAATAAAATCTTTAAAAAAAACCATATTTAATCTCCAAATAAAGACAATAACAAAATATGATATTTAAATACTATGATATAGAGTCATAGGATACTAATGATGATGATAAGGAAATAAGAGAGGAAAGAAAACAAAGATATTTTATTTTTATACACACACATACACATATTCATAGCAAAACAAGAAGGGACTGTTAGGACAATTATAGTTCTGTAATTACGGAAATTACATTTCTATAACTGGTCATGTGGTTGTAGCTGACAATTTGTAACTACCTTCTTCCACTATCCATTCTGTATTCTCTTTGTCTTCAACAAGCACCTCCGCTGGCCAAACTCTCATTCCTAAAGGATCTGGGCCATTAGTAGTCCTGCCCATGACCCAAACATGGGGCATAGGAATACTAAGAGACACCCTGAGGGATCTCCTGTATCCCAGACATTTTTTTCCTTTACCTCCATTGTGGAGCAGTCGTCCAATTTCCCCCTGGTAGTCAGGACCCATCCCAGCCCGCACAGTGACTCCCTTCTTTGCTTGTTGACTCAGACGCATGAGGAGGCCTAAGTGGCTGGGTGACAGTCTTAACTTCCAGTTCAATGGAATCATTGTGTCACCTGGTGGATGTATCCCTCCTTGCAGCTAAGACCTCTAGGGAGGCAGAGCATAGGGTTACAGGACAGAGGCAAAAAAACTGTGGTAGTGGATCACTAGGGATCATAGTGTTGGGTGCCACTCCCATTCCCCCACCCCCCGTCCCCGCCTTGATTCCTAGACCTGTGAATACCGGCTATCAGAAGAAGAACACCATATACTGGACACTGATTTGGAGCACTTACAGCCTTCTGGAGAACCTTGCCTCAGCTCTGCAAGGTATTGCCACCTAGTGGGTACTGTAACTGAGTTTTCAAAAGGCCAGTCCACTGTTCTCTCAAAGCAGCTGCTTCTGGATGTTAGGGAACATAGGCCAGTGAATTCCATGAGCATGGGCCCATTGCCATGCTTCATTTGCTAGGAAGTGACTTCCTTGATCAGAAGCAATGCTATGTGGAATACCATGACAGTGGATAAAGCATTCTGGAAGTCTGTGAATGATAGTTTGGGTAAGAAGCATTAGAGGCAGAGAAGGCAATCTGTATCCAGAGTAAATATTCGGGTAAGAACAAAACACTGCCCCTCCACAATGGAAGTGGTCCAGTGTAATCAACCTGTTCAGCCAAGGGAATGGTATGATGTCAGAGGCCCAGTGTTGGTCTCTGCTGCTGGCTGACTGAGTCCTCAGTGACAGCCATAGCCAGGTCAGCCTTGGTGAGTGAAAGTCCATGTTGCTGAGCTGATGCATGAGCTCCATCCTTGCCACCATGTCCACTTTGTTCATGAGCCCATTGGGTGATGACAGGAGTGGCTGGGGGAAAAGGCTTACTGGTATCCACTGCATGGATCATCCTATCCACTTGATTATTAAAATCTTCTGCTGAGGTTGCCCTTTGTAAGCATTCACGTGAGACCCAATATCTTCATGGGTTTGCTTTTTTATTTTGTGTGTGTGTGTGTGTGTGTGTTTTCTCATCCAGAGAGACCTATCTATATACCTTCTCACATTTCCTTGTCAACAATTTTCCAATCATGTTTCTTCCAAGTCCCTGACCATCCAGCTAAACCTTGGCCACAGCCCATCAGTCAGTATATAATTGCACATCTGGCCATTTCTCCTTCCAAGCAAAGTGAACAACCAGGTGCACTGCTCACAGTTCTGCCCACTGGGAGGATTTCCCTTCACCCCTGTCCTTCAGGGATGTCCCTAAAAGGGGCTGTAGTATTGCAGCTGTTCACTTTTGGGTGGTGCCTGTGTATTGTGCAGAATAATCCGTAAACCAGGCCTGAGTGTTTTCTTCCTCTGTGAAATGATCATAGGGAAGTGCCCCAGAGGCTGTAGGTGCAGGCTGGGGGTAACCACGGCATTTGGGCCGTATATTCACATAAATCGCTTATGCCATCAGGGCCTATATGGACCCAGTCTCATATACTCCAGTTTCATTTGCTGATAGAATGCTGTTTTGCATGCCCAGCTTACACGGCATGGTGGGTCAGATAACACCCAGTTCACGATGGACAGCTCAGGTCACAAAGTAACTTGGTGGTCTGCTGTTAAGGACTCAGTCTCTACTAAGGCCCAGTAAGCAAGCTAAGAGCTGTTTGGAAACAGAAGAGTCGTTATCAGCGGAGGATGGCAAGGCTTTGCTCAAAATCCTAAGGGCCTGTGCTGCAGTTCACCTAGAGGGGGCTGATGAAGTCTTCAGACAGCATCCCTGCCTGACCTGCTGCTCCAAGCACCACAAAATCTAGATCAAGTGGTACAAGTGACAGAGCAGCTTGCACAGCAGCCTGACATGCCCCAGAGCCTTCTCCTGTTTGGGGTCCCATTCAAATCTAGCAGCTTGGCGGGTCACTCGGTAAATGGGCCAGAATAACACAACCGAAGGAGGAATGTGTTGTCTCCAAAATCCAAAGAGGCCCAGTAAGGTGTTGTGCCTCTTTTTGGTTATAAAGGGGGCCAGGTGCAACAAGTTATCCTTCACCTCTGTAGGGATATCTCAACATGCCCCACACCACTAGACCCCTAGAAGTTTCACTGAGCTAGAAGGCCTCTAAACTTTGGTCAGATTTATTTACCACCCTCAGACATACAAATGTCTTTTTTTTTTTTTTTTTTTTACTTTAAGATTTTATTTATTTATTTGTCAGAGAGAAAGAGAGAGATAGTAGAGCAGGGGAAGCAACAGGCAGAGGGAGAAGCAGGCTCCCCACTGAGCAAGTAGCCCGATGTGGGACTTGATCCCAGGACGCTGGGATCATGACCTGAGCTGAAGGCAGATGCTTAACTGACTGAGCCACCCAGACATCCCTGACATACAAATGTCTTACCAATAAGGCTAGAGTAGTTGCTACTTCTTGCTCACTAGATCCAGTCAGTACGATGTCCTCAATGTAATGGACAAGTGTGATATCTTGCAGAAGGGAAAGGTGTTACGCAGAACTTATGCACTTGTAACTAGTGTCAGGAGAAGGCTCCAACTACATGGAGGATAGCAAAGAGCATTACAGTGCTCG